GGCTCAACATTTTAAAAGATATAGTGCATTGCGTACACTTCAGTCATTTTCTGAAACGTTTGACGCATCATTTTGTTTGCACCTGACCAACCTGAGCAATCGCCTCAGTAATGAATCTTATAAGGCGATGTTAATTGCTGCATGAGGAGCAAAACGGTGAGTAAAGTGAAATGTGTGAGCACAGGTTTAATTCATCGCATATATCCATTACCATATTCTTGTCTATGTGTTTAGGCATTCTGAGACCTTTCTTAAGCATGAGGGCAAGCTTGTTACTGAAATGTGCACATAATGTTTTACGCGGACTTGCATGTAGATTAGGCATAAATGAAGTTGAATATGAAACCGGCCATGTTACGGTGGACTTTGCTGACTGATAATTTTGAACAGATTTTGTGGAGACTAATCCTTAAGTTCCTGTGCTGATGGGGTATTTACGTGTTATTCGTTTATGCGTAACAAACACAATGGTGTCTGCGATTTGATTTGGCGCAGGACATAATTTGGTTCGGCATCTTCTAGTTGGTGTTGCCTTAATAACTTTATTATAGAAAACTAAAAGCATTCTGTGTAAATACTAGGTATGGATGATATGATATCTAGTTCCTGATCGACTGCTGTATTTTGCTTCCCACAATTTAGTGCTTTCGCTGCTATTGACTATTACACAGGCAAAGCAGCTGAGAATATCTTGTCAGTGTTATTAACTTTTCACTTGTCACATTGCATGCATTAGGCATATGTGCTGAGGTAATGCTATTTCTATTTGCTTGACCGCAACTTGTGGAAGCAGCTAAACGATTGTATACATCCAGGTATTTGTTATAGGGATGAGCGTGTGCGATCAAAATCTTGTCCCTCGATATTTACTCAATCAACTGTAAGCCATACCACTACAGTTGATTAACTGAGATGCCCTCTTTTGATTGATTCGCCGCATTCGCATATTCTACTGCACTTGTGGAGCCTTTTTAGAGTGTTTTTCGTGATAATTCCGAACTCTGCCTTGCACAACATCGAAATCCTTACTAACGGTAGGACAAACTAAAAGGTTATATTTACAGAAGATCCGCAAAATTATGTGACGAATGAAAGGCAACTGAGTTTGCGTTTGCAAGTGTGCATGACTAAATGTTGTAGCTTCATTTTTTCTCTGATTTGTCAATTAACACATGTGAATTTCTCTGCAACAGCAGGTCATTATATTGCATCTGGACATTATGTAATTTCTAACCGGGTATTGTCAACCATTCCACTGTCTGCCTCATTCTGCTTATTTACGCAAAACTTTTAACGCACGCATGATTTTGCGCGGTTTCACAGCTAATAAGGTGGATGTCGGTGAGTTATATTCGTTGCACGCAGTTTACTCGTGTGAGTTTGCTAACTAGACTGGACAACAGTACTAACTTTTGTCATTTCAGCTAACAACATACCGTATATTCGAAGTTATTTTGAATAGTACTCACCAAAGGTCGAATGTTTGTTTGTTAGCGGCTCGACTTACATTGCAGTTTGGCTTGTCTAACCGCTTTACTTAGCCGGCTGCTTGGCAACCTTTAGTCAACTCACGTTTGGAATGGGCATAATCCATTTTCAGTGGGAAGAGAGCATAACATTTCTCTTCTTCAAATTTACTTGATTGAAGCAGACATCTGGGATTTGATAAAGGTTGCATGGCATAGCTTCTATATCATGAAATTCGTTTGAGAACAAGGCATAACGCATAGAAAATTTTTCAATACGGAATGCGAAACGGTTTCGTGCCTGGTTACGCCCTTTTCTCATAGATAAACAAGTGGCAGCCTAGTACCGAATAGTTTTAACGACGCATCGATCGTAACAAGATAGACCAGAAGGGCAATGATAGATTGGTTAACTATATTCCTATTGGTCAATCTTATCACCTACACTTATCATCTGTTCGGCAAATATTGGTTAAACTAAGGTTTTCGGGCATTTGGCTCTAATGCTATGAACATGCAGCACAGTTGAGCTAATGATGGAATGTTAATGCTAAGCAAATAAGCACCAATTGCCTAAGATATCCCGGTAAACTATTAGAATTATTAGCAAAAAGTCGTGACGAAGAACAATGAGAGTTAAACCGGTCATGCATGACCATCTTTCGAGTAATGATTTTCTAAACCTCCGGCCAACCATGTAATCTATTCTCCTATACATTGTAGATCAGCGTGTACAGCAGGGTAAGTGGCAATCTAATCAATGGTTATTACAATTAATCACAGTCCAGCATTAAGTTAATATCGCCATCAATTTCCCCCTGGTGAGGGAAATCCTACCACCATTTGGACTAAGTTTAATTGCCTACCACGTCACGCGTTGTGATAAATGCTAAATCTACCAATCCCACATCGCCCATTATACTGTGCAGATCAAAACGCTATAGTGGGTGAGTCCGTGTATTTTTCGTTACCTGTTTACGGAGGCCAATTATACAACAATGAATAGTGTGTTTTGAACGATAAAAAACGAGCATTAAGGGTCAGCGTCCTAATCAAGTAATAGAGTAGCAAAATTAATTTTGGCGTGCATAAGAATTAATAGTCAAAAGATATATATCACACGAAAACGAGAAATAACGTTTCAGTGCGTAGAATCAAACAATATTCAAACAGTCGTCAATGTGGATTATGTGTGAAAAAAGTCAGCATAGAACCTGCGACGAAGAAAAGATAAAATAAGTAAACGATTAAAGTACAATGTGAAAAAAGAAATAGGTTTACCTCTCCATAATCTTAAACCTTTCTGACAGAAAAAGAAATAAAAACCAAGTATGCTGGCATAAACTCCACTAACGTACTTGCAAATATTGCGTGAAGTATAACTTTCAAACAGGATTTTAATGTGAATTAATATATAACTTCCACTGTCCCAGATCTACGCAGATGGGGGCAAGACATCGGATGTTAAATCACCGCTAATTAGCGGGTCAAACGAGAAATGAAGCGGCTTGCTAACAAACACAAAATATCCATTGCTCACAGATATAAACGATGAGAAATGGCATCTAAATTATGCCGAGAGCCAGAAACGACGCGTCGTAGCCAAGTCCAACAAAAACAGAAGCATATGGGTCGTCTTGGATTTAACCAGAGTCGAACCAAAAAATTCGGATTTCAAGGCTAAATATGCTGGCAAAAATTCCAGCAACGCATTTGAATTTTCGACCTTCCACTCTATCCAGAGGAATAGCGTGAAAACTCCAGTCGTATTACACCACAAGAAAAAAGAATATCGAAAAATCAAGTAAAATAATTGCATAAATTGAGCTCGGCAATGTACAAAGTCATTTGTTAATGTTCCTCGCACTGCAAAATCGGAACAATAAAGTTTCAATGCGCAACTTGAAATTGCATCCAAGTAGCCGTCTTCAATGATTTTGTGTGCAATTCATTCGGTATGGACACTGAGATGGCGATAAGTTTAAATATCCAAGATGCCCAAAGTGTGCTGATGAAAACGGAACTATGTATCTCTCTCCATACTTTTAGACGTTCCTCCTACTAAAGGGAATAAAAAACCAAGTAAGCTTGCCATAATCGCCAGTAACATGCTTGCAATTATTGCGTGACGTGTGAATTTCCACTAGCATTTAAATGTGCTATGACGAAGCACTGCTGCTGTCCCCGTTTTACGCTGATTCCGACAAGTAATCCATGGCGTATTTGGCGCCTGTTTGCGGGTCGAACGAATGATGCTGCGGCTTCGTCGCACTCACATCGAAAATGCATGGGACACAGAAATTAACGACCAGTATTGGAGTCAACGGTATGCCTCTACACTGAAGCGACGCATTGCAACCACGCTACCACCACCACCACCACCAGTGGCACGACGGTCGCGCTGTGATTTAGCATGCTGGAACCAGCTCACTCGGAATCCAAGACAGGCTTGGGATCGGCATTCCTTCAGAACGGGGTGTTTATTATGATTTTTCAATCTCTAGGCAGAAGAACGTGTTTATAACTTGAACCGGAGTTCTCCACCTGCCGTTATGCTTATCGTCCCAATCTCGTAATACGGTTGGAAATTTAGAACTTCGGAATGTATAAAAATTATTAGTCACAGGCTGCTTGTTCTGCAAACTATGAGTCGCGGATGCTGCATGCCACGGCATCAAATAGCATTTAGATAGTGGCCTCCGTCGAATATGTGTGCGATACAGTCAGCATTTAAACTAAGGCGGATGTAAGTTTAAATTTCGAAGATGCCCAGAGTGTAATGGTAGATACCGAACTATGTTTCTCTCTATTTATTTTTAGACAATCCTCCAGCTGAAGACGATAACAAAGCAGGTATGTGTTAAAGATCTCATGTAACATGCTTGCAAATGGTGGGACATCTGTGATCTTCATTTATGATGTTAGTTGAGCACAAACAAACCACTTGCTCTGTTCTTGCTTTACGCTGATTGCGGCAAGTAATCCGAAGTGGATGTTCGGCTAATTAGCTGGTCGAACGAATAATGCTGCATCTTCCTCGCACACACATCAAATATGCATTGGTCACATATATTAAGGATGAGAAATGGCATTAACTGTATGCCGGTACGCAGTAGCGAATTTCGCAGCCACGCTTCCACCACGAACAGTGGCACGAGTGTCATCCTGTCTTTACGCAGGATCGAGCGAACGCTGTAGGAATTCAATGCAGCCTATGCTCGGCAATACATCAGCAACGCATTTGAAGATCCTTATTTTATCGTTAGGAATACTGACGCGATTTGCTGACAAGTTAATTCTTCACCTGTTTTTGATAATACCTTCTAAAGAAATGATGGGTTAGCAAATTTTGCGCATCTAAATTTATATAGGTTATTTAACCCTGGCTCCTTTTCTGCGAAAATGAATAAATGATTTCGCAACGCTCTCGGTGTATTAAACTCAGGACTCTTCCATATTTGATATTTTTAAAATACGCTAAGCATACACAGTGCTACTAAAAATTTGTAAATTTCAAATGACAAAATTTTAACGATGGAAACCTTCGTTTCTCTCTATTTAATTTTAGACAATCTTTCTGATGGAAATGGTAACGGAGAAGGTATGTGCTAATTACCTCATGTAACATGCTCGCAATTGGTGGGAAATCGGCAAACGTTTTAGCTTCCAGAAGCGCCCTTACTTATCACTTGCGCTATTTTAACTTTTACGCTGATTGCGGCAAGCAATCCGAGGCGTTTTATTGATAAGCTAGCAGGTCGAAGGAATAATGCTGCCGCTTCCTCTGACTCCCATCAAAAATGCATTGGACACAGAAATAAACGATGATTAATGGAATTAATACTATGCGTTTAAACAATAGCGACTACTGGCAGCCACGCTTCCACCACACACAGTAGCACGAGGGTCCTCCTGCATTTTAGCAGGATCGAGCCAGGTCCTTTGGATTTGAATGCGGTCCATCCTCGGCAATCCTTCAGCACCGTATATGGATTGCTGGCCTTCAACTGTATGCAGAGTGGTGGCGCGATCGCTGCAAAGTTTTCCAAATTCGCATCGTGTAATATGGTACCAAACATGTAAAACATTGGGAAATTGAGCTAGCGAATATATTAAAAAGCATATCAGCAGATTTTGTCCAGTAAATTCTGATTCAATTATGTGGAAATGCGGAGATTGAAATTGCATCCAAGTAGCCGTCACCGTTGATTATGTGTGTAATACATTCGGTATAGACACAGCGATGGAGATGGTTTAAGTTTCCAAGATGCCTAAAGTGTGGTGGTGAAAACGGAACTATGTTTCTCTCTCCATACTTTTAGACGTTCCTCCTAGTAAAGGGAATAAAAAACCAAGTAAGCTTGCCATAATCTCCAGTATCATGCTTGCAATTATTGCGTGACGTGTGAATTTCCACTAGAATTTAAATGTGCTATGACGAAGCACTGCTGCTGTCCCCGTTTTACGCTGATTCCGACAAGTAATCCGTGGCGTATTTGGCGCCTGTTTGCGGGTCGAACGAATGATGCTGCGGCTTCGTCGCACTCACATTGAAAATGCATTGGACACAGAAATTAACGACCAGTATTGGAGTCAACGGTATGCCTCTACACTGAAGCGACGCATTGCAACCACGCTACCACCACCACCACCACCAGTGGCACGACGGTCGCGTTGTGATTTAGCATGCTGGAACCAGCTCACTCGGAATCCAAGACAGGCTTGGGATCGGCATTCCTTCAGAACGGGGTGTTTATTATGATTTTTCAATCTCTAGGCGGAAGAACGTGTTTATAACTTGAACCGGAGTTCTCCACCTGCCGTTATGCTTATCGTCCCAATCTCGTAATACGGTTGGAAATTTAGAACTTCGGAATGTATAAAAATTATTAGTCACAGGCTGCTTGTTCTGCAAACTATGAGTCGCGGATGCTGCATGCCACGGCATCAAATAGCATTTAGATAGTGGCCTCCGTCGAATATGTGTGCGATACAGTCAGCATTTAAACTAAGGCGGATGTAAGTTTAAATTTCGAAGATGCCCAGAGTGTAATGGTAGATACTGAACTATTTTTCTCTCTATGTATTTTTAGACAATCCTCCTGCTGAAGACGATAACAAAGCAGGTATGTGTTAAAGATCTCATGTAACATGCTTGCAAATGGTGGGACATCTGTGATCTTCATTTATGATGTTAGTTGAGCACAAACAAACCACTTGCTCTGTTCTTGCTTTACGCTGATTGCGGCAAGTAATCCGAAGTGGATGTTCGGCTAATTAGCTGGTCGAACGAATAATGCTGCATCTTCCTCGCACACACATCAAATATGCATTGGTCACATATATTAAGGATGAGAAATGGCATTAACTGTATGCCGGTACGCAGCAGCGAAATTCGCAGCCACGCTTCCACCACCACCAGTAGCACGAGTGTCATCCTGTCTTTACGCAGGATCGAGCGAACGCTGTAGGAATCCAAGGCAGCATGTGCTCGGCAATTCATTAGCACCGCATTTGTATTTCCTTCTTTTTTCTACTCTACGCAGAGATATGGCGTTATTTCTAAAGTCTTAGCTCTTTACTTGCTTAAATATTAAGGTCTTTAACAAATGATGGGTTTGCAAAATTTTCGCATTGAAATTTATATAGATTATTTATCCCTGGCCCTTTTCTGCGAAAATGAATAAATGATTTTGCAAGGCGCTCGGTTTATTAACACTCAGGCCGGGACGATATTTGATTCTTTGATATAAGCTTCGTATAAACAGTGCTACTAAGAATTTGTAAATTTCAAATGACAAAATTTTAACGATGGAAACCTACGTTTCTCTCTATTTATTTTTAGACAATCTTTCTGATGGAAATGGTAACGGAGAAGGTATGTGCTAATTACCTCATGTAACATGCTCGCAATTGGTGGGAAATCGGCAAACGTTTTAGCTTCCAGAAGCGCCCTTACTTATCACTTGCGCTATTTTCCCTTTTACGCTGATTGCGGCAAGCAATCCGAGGCGTTTTATTGATCAGTTAGCAGGTCGAAGGACTAATGCTGCGGCTTCCTCTCACTCACATCAAAGTCATTCATCATAGACATTAAGGAGGAGAAATGGCATCAATTTTACGCCGGTACGCAGTAGCAACGATTGCAGATACGATTCCACCATGAACTTTAGCACTAGGGTCGAAATTTCTTTGGGCATAATCGAACCTGCGCCTTCGGATTTCAAGGCAGTCTTACGCTCGGAATACCTTCACTACACCAGCGGTCTTCAAATATTTTACCGTACGCAGAAATATGGCGATATTACTGCAATCTTAGTTTTCCACATGATTTGGCAATTATCGTCCAAGTCAAGTAATACAATTGCAAATCTCAACTTGGGAATTCATAAGGATTATTATTCCCATGCTGCTTGTTCTGCAAACTATGAGTCGCTGATGTTGCATGGCGCAGCCTCAGAATTTCGCAGTGCCCAACGTTACTTATGTGTGCAATAGTCAGTATATGATATTTGACGGAGAGAAGTTAAAATTTCGAAGATGCTCAAAGTGTAATTGCAGAAACCGAACTAGGTTCCTCTCTATGTATTTTTAGACAATCTTTCAAATGAGGATGATGACAAAGCAGGTATATGTTAAAGGTCTCGTTTAAAATGCTTGCCAATTTTGAGGCATCTGTTAACTTACTTTTGATGTTAGTTGAGCTCAAGCAATCTTTTTGCACTCATCCTTTTTTGCGCTGATTGCGGCAAGTAATCCGATGCGGATATTTAATTAATTTTCGTTTCGACAGAATAATATTTGGGCTTTTGCGCACCCATTTTGATTCATTGCTCATATTTATTGCTGATGAGGATTTTCTTCACCAGTATGCCGGTGCGCATTTGCGACTCTTGTGAGTCATGCCTCTACCTCCGTCGGTAGCACGATGCTCTTTGTTTTTAAGTAGCATCGAGGCAGCACCCTCGATTTTCTTTGGTTTCTTATCGTTGGTCTCCTGCATTACAGAACCAGTTATTCAATGTTTCTACTTTAAGCAGATGGACGTGTTTTTTTCTGCAACCTGTTTTTCTATGTAATTTTGTTGCTTATGTTTCTAATTACGTAATACTTTTGCTAATTTACATTTTTTTATTTTTACATTTACTATTCCTGCGCTGCTTTTTTGGCGGGTGATATTCTCTGACATTACGACAATGCGTTTTCCTGTATTTTTTCTACTGCGCCACTGATATTTTATACTTATTAGTACACCTTGACATATATTTTTTTCCATTAAGTTCTGGAATCATATAATTGAAACGGAATACGTCTTTTTTTTCTTCCTCCATATTTAATTTTTCAAGTTTTCATTTTTTCAGTTCATTTCGTTTCATTTCAATTTTTGTGAGATGAACTGGTGCTAATATTTTTCCTGTTGACCTAGGGATTTTCTGTCCGTTAGTATAAAGTGCTACAATGAATTTCTGCCTTATTTTGTTCTTGCTTACTAATCTCTAGTTTCTAACAAATTCTTTGCATTTTCTACTGTGTACTTCCTTCAGGCGGTGGACTTTTAGGTAAGTATTTCAAGCTTGTGCATTTATCATATGCGAACGTTTGATATTAGAGGCATCCCACTACGTTAACTGAATAGAAGTCAATCGCACTTAAATATCATTTAAACGAAGCATTCTTTATTTTGACTTTTTCTATGATTGTATCCAATCCTTAGGACCATTCTGTCGCTACTCTGTTGGAATCTGATTGTCAGGTTATCCAGGGTTTTGTCTTGGCGGGTATGGAGTATCATTCCTAGTGAACTGCGCATTATGCGGTATTTAGCTAAGCAACGGTTACGCCGTCCGTCAACGTACATTATGAGTAGCGTGCTTATGATTTGAATCAGTAATCTACGGCACTCCTATTTTTATGCATACTCTGTTAGCATATCATTTTTATTCGACTACATCCAAATAATCGGATAAACAAAAAGAAATGCATACAGTTGTCCCAAATTTTGTTTCGTTATTTGATATTGTTGCGGCATTCACACTTAATCCTGAAATTAGGAGGGTCTTGCAAATGAAAGGTGGATCATCAAATTTCAGTCACAAACCATTAGTTATTTTATATCCTTTTTCAAGTAAGTTGACCACCGTATAATATGCGTCTAATGCGCGCGGCGCAAGTAGCGTTTTGAATTCAACTGCCTGAAGCTCGATGTGGGTATGAAGTATGGGCATTGGAACCTGTTGAGCTACCGGATGATAATGCAAACATTTGGCCAAATATTCGCGGTTTTCTCATCGATAGTGGCCTCGTGGCTTGTGCGTAATTTGGGCAAATGAAATTGCAAAGGATTTTTGTTAACATTGTTGCTAAAACCCACATACCCGAATAATTAAATTTTGCTTCACCAATACCTCACTGCTGCATGAATAGCTATGACATACGTTCGGGTTAGACAAGTTTGGGACAAAGATTGCGCTTCTCATTGTGTGTGTGTATAATTCATATTTGTATAACTCTGGCTAACAACGCTTTGCACTGAGCAAACCTTGAGGTGCATACCAACTACATATTTCATGTTTACTGAAGTAATAAGTATTAATATTTCTGTATGTTATGCATCATTCAGTTTTGCTATCCGCCCTTAAATATTTTGCATCTAATTGCATTACACCCAATTTAATGTGTAGCAGGCCTTGGTGCTCTATTAGGTAAGTTGCATTTCACAGTTCCGCAAGTTATTTCTGATATGTGAACACGAATGTACGTTAAGCAGTGGGTCTTTTGATTACATTGTGGAAAACAGCAAGTACCAGTTGCAATAAAATTGAAGTAATATTTGTAGTTGTAATGGTTTCGTCCCAGCTGCTCACAATGTACATAGCACAGCCTGATTTGAATTGCCGCAGGTTGACCGCTGTTCTTTGGTAAGTGTCACGACATGCAGATGGCTTGTGCCATTGACAGTCATAAAATGTTCTCAGAGTGGCGAGATTTCTTGCTTTATGCTCCTTTGGTCTTATCGTGCTATAAACAAACGTAGCTTGTCAAAAAGCAACTAGTTCAAATTTATGTGTTCGTCTAACAAAATCAATGTGATTATGGATAACCTCTTATAGGGAAGTACAAATTCAAATCAGCGGGTTCCTTTTTGATACTTCTCTTCAGGCTAATACATATATAAAAGGTGCTTAAATTTTCAACAGGCTAGGATATCTGGGCTAGGGTTGCTTTAGTCTAAACGGGTGCTGTAGATTCTTTAGTCCATGAAGATAATAACGCCCATGGGGTAACAGGGTGACCGCGTGAGGTGGAATTAAGCAGTGCTCACGATGAGATCAGGGTCAGGGCAAATGTAACCTCTGTACTAGCGCCCTCCGTTTGCACAGTTCTGATTGTATTAGCCGGAACACAATGGCTTCGGCTGTCATTAGTTGGCACTTTTTGATCGCTTTTGTGTAACATTTTGTTGCGGAGTAGCAAATTTTAAGACTTCGTGACAACACTTAGAGAAAGCGGTCACTATGATACAAAGCCATGGAGATAGCGACATAATACCTAGTGCATGGAGCGTTTGTTGCTAATAGAACAAACTAAAATCAGGTAAACCATCCTTACTGATGGAATGAAGTTGACCACAGAACAAAAGAATTAGGGTACGGAGAGTTGTACAGTTACCCAGGTAAGTGCATTTGAGGGGTTATGAGTGTGCTCATATTTAACGGGTCTTTGGAGGATATAGTTCGGTGCATGAGCACCCAAGGTGAATGATCGCAAAATTCCAATCAAAGTGCCAACCGATAGCAAGCTTTAGATGAGTTTCCAATAATGCAAGGTCCCGCTACAACATGCTCAGCGATGAGGTACCACCTCATCTGAACCGATGTGCACTGGATTAGAAATTCTGCTTCATTGTTCTCGCGTTTTGATATAATAATCGAAGTATATTTCATGTCCTTCATTGCAGTGCCTGAAGCTCGTGGATTTAAACACTCCAGTAACCGTTTGTGAATTTCATGCTTTTTGACATAAAGTGTGTATTGCTGCCTTTATTTTTACGCAAAACACACGTTCCTATGATCGTACATTAACGGGAGTGCACTGAAGCTGTGGTATCTGCAACAAATCCCAGTCGTTTATTGCCATAGTTATCATTTCCAGCGACGTTTCAATGTAAGCAACCAGATAACATTGAACGGCTGTCTAGTGCTTATCGCACTCGCTGATTTTTCTGACATTTCAAGAGCACGCGCGGTAATCACTTGGTACTTGCTTGAGAATATATTATAATTCCAATTCCATTCCCCACGGATGTAGATATCTGTCATGGTAAAAATACACACAAAAAGGTAACAAGCAGCAGAAACAGCAATAATGTTACAACATAAATTCGCTTATATGTTCCATAACGACGGAGGTTTGGTTGCACAAAAAGCGCGCCAAATATGGGATTATCGATGAGTGGTAAGCCCTTGTACGGGAATAAATGCAGCTGTACTTTTGTCTATTTGGAGAAGTTGACATGGAGTCCGACAGCGCACATTAAAGGGGCGACTTGCAGTAGCGAGTATTTATGAAGTAAGCGTTTTGCACGGATTGATATGAGCAGACATAAAATTGCCAAAATAGTTCGGCTTTCGAATACTACTACATTGAGGCAGTTGTGTCAATAACTTATGTATGATTTTGTAATGCTTCCTTAGGAAACAAAGGAATGTCACATAGAGCAATGTGTCCAGTGAGGTAAACACACAAACGGTGATATATCTCAGTATTATGTAGTGAGGGACCGAAGAAGGTTGCAAACGAGCAGCGTAAAAGGAACGTCTCCTCACATTTGTAAAAGCATCATTCACTTGAAGTGACCATGATAGGTCACGGCTGAGTGTAACATCTAGATATTTCACTGACTCGGTGCAGTGCAACCACTCACCATCTCTGTGAAATTAAAGAACGATCTATTAGAAGTTACTGATAACGACAGTCATTGTAAAGGGAAAAATGTACGTCAATGCATTATATGTATTTAGCGATAAAATGTGAGCTCTGGACCATAACGCTAGTTCGTACAGATAGGCTGGTACCTTGATTAATGAGGCTGAATTCGGATGTTGGATACCTAAGGCCACATCGTGCGCATATTTCAGCAATATCGCTACGTTAGCAGCTGCAGACTGGCAACATACAGAGAATAAGGTATGATGACAATATGGCTCATTGAAGAAACCTAGTGGCTGTGATGCATAGCGAGGATCTTTTACCCCCAAGTCGATTAAACTGGGCACGTCCAGAGAAATATTCCCTCAGCTGGTGAACAGTGAAATATTAGATTCCGGTATCACATTGGACTCTCAAAAGAAGCTCACGGTTTGCACTGCCTAACGTATTGCTATAGTAGAGAAGACATACTCACCCGGTTTTAATCTTATTGTCCAGTGACGCCAGCATTGAATGTTCTAGATAGGCTAATGCATTTTCAGGAAACGACAGCCTACGATCAGCAAACGCAATCGGATCATCTGGAAGTGTTTGAGTCATCATCCTTTTAACAATAATCTTCTCGAAGACCTTCATGTTTGTTGAGGTGCAAACAATTGCATACCCTTTGCCTTGGTTTATTTCAACATTGCTCCAATAGTCGACAATTTGACATTCCTGTATGCAGAACGTGTAAAGGTCAGAAAGAGGCTGCGCCGAGGAATCAGGACACACCTTGAGGATAATGGATGGTAATCCGTCCGGGCCACTTGCTTCGTTGGAATTTAACTTCAACAGCGGTTGATTGCTGTATTACTGTTAATATCAATTAAAGACCGTCGACTCGGGGGACGAGTAACAAATAGTAGAGCGTAAACGAGAAAGCAGTAATATTTGTCTGCGTTAGTAAGTCGAATTTCAAATGTAGATAATCCATATAAAACGCAAGTTCGCGCAACCTCCGCTACTCTCTGCACGGTTCAATTATCCCAACCCACCACAACTCCTTCACTAACATGACAAAGAGCTCACGACGTTTGCCCATTTGTCGTTTGCCATTTATAGTCAAATGTCGAATGTAGACCGCCAGAGCCACAGTTATAGGATCATTCAGGGATATATACAGGGAATATCACGTTCACCCTATAGAATCAGGCAGTGAAGTGCAACCTCATAGAGGCTTCGGCATCTGTGAGTACACAGGACCACCGTAAATTTCCAAAATCTTTCTACATGGTAGGACGGGTGTTATCAATGTTTTGCTCCAACCTGCCAGAGATTTATGCAGCGTTTGAGTGACTTGATCCACGGTAAGTAACACGCCATTCATTTCTCGGACGACGCTAGTCTAGATTACGAGAAACTATAAGAAGTGATTTTGGCTCAGTCAGACATAGCATTACTACTTGCACACCATCTGGCGCATCAGGCAGCTACTTGGCTAATGTTCATACATAGTTTACCAAAAAATAAGAAGATAATACTAGATTTGTTATAACAAGTGTAGCTTATAAAATTCCTTTGGAACACCTGTGTAACTGAACAATTACGATAGACTTATGTACCTGTTAGCTTAGTACTGACCTCGACGGTTGACATCATGTAGCAGACTCTTAACAGTAGCGATTGCTTTATGCAAGCAATCGCAAGATAATTATTCAAGTCGGAAATCGGTAGCTGGACTATGTTCCTTGGTTTACGGCATACGGATGATATGTAGCAAGAGTTTTGAAACAGGACATGTTCCGACTTTTCCTTAGTCTCATGATCAGTTTGAGATGACCATGGACAAGGGTCTTTTGCAGCTTCTGGAGTGGAAAAGCCTCGTAACGCCCGCACAGCATGTTTCATGAAGTTAACGCATGCATAAGATGGCCATACGTCCCGATTTAGGCGGGACAGTCCCACATTTCAAGCCATCGTCCCTCTTTATTAGATTGGCCGGGCGGGCCGCACCAATGTGCCGCTTTGAGCCTGAAGACCTCAAAAGGTAGGTGAAAAAGTGTCAAATCGATCCGTGACGGTGCGTGCACACCATAAGACCAAATAAGTGAGCGGGTATGATTTAGACGAGATAGTTGTTTACGCGGGTGGGCAAGGCGCTAAGATTTTGACGACAATATAAAAAGAAGGGAGACAAGTTGGGATAGAACTTTTGTGCCTTTAGAAAAGAAAGTGTACATTAAGTGCAGTTTGGTGTGAAAAGTATGTGTAAACCAACGTGCAAGATGAATACTGAATTGGAGGGCGATCGAACATTTATTAATAAAGCAACACGCGACAACGATTCGCATGTCCAATGTGACAGAGAAATCCGAATTTTTAGTTGCTCACGGTGACAGATCAGATATCACAAAGAACCTAACGTTGGGTTGCATTAAGCTAGCAGTGTCTGTGACAGCAGCTCCTACTCCTGTAACAAATTGGCTCCTATCAGCAAGTTTTGGAAACACAGAAGCCAAGTTAGAAACAGTATAAGGTACTTCGCTTATCACGCTGTTTTTCGTAAACATAAAATTTGCGCCATGAATTGTTTGTGCCCTCACAAAAGGTGAGGCAATAATAATAATTATTCGCTACCCATTCTCTGGTGTGCAGCTTCAAGAAATATGGAAAAAAGAAAAGTTCGTGTCAAGTTTCACGGACTCCTCAAGCAACAAGAAATTAAAGTGTTCCCACTCCTTGTGTGATATTTTGTGAAGTCATCGGGTAACAAATTGGTTTTTGCGTTTGCAATCAATTAAATATGGCACATCGGACACCACTTGTGAATTTGTCAAACATGTTTTGGAAAAGATTAATATGAGCATAAAATTGTTGATATTTTGTGCCCATAAGTCCAAAACGATTTTAGTTGGCGTCCAGAGAAGAGGTCGCAATAATATATTTGCGAAATTGAAATCTTCGATTGGAGAAATACTTTGGCAAATTTGTTCCGTGGACCACATTTTCCGCAATGCGTCGCCAACGGCGGTTGACACCCTTCCTATTGATTTTGAAACAGCTGTGGGGAAAATTTATTCTTACATTTAGATTTACACCGTTCTTGTCAAAAACCTAAAGGAATTCTGTGACTGCAATTGTGGAGTACAAGCGCATTCTAAGCTAAGAGAAAACCAGACAGCTTTCATCTATACCAGCAGTGGAGAGAATCTGAAGCTCTTTCAAGCGTTGCAATCCTATTGTTTGTCTCGACAAAACTGTCCCACAATATTAAAATATTTCTTTGCAAATTCATGCGCCGAACTTTGGCTCCAATTTGCACAAATCTGTGGCATCTTTTATGCTACTGTACTAAAAATTGAGGAACAAACTATTTCAATGCTATAAGTGTTGTCTGCAATGTATGAAGTCTTCCGGAAATACAGGGACCGGAGCTACAACTACTTTGTCCCAAACGAGGTACAGATCCGAATTGGCTAACTCAAACAAGCAGGCCTCATCACAGAAACAGATTTAAGGAATATTCTCCCCATCATGTACGACAATTTTATAGATTATCTACAGGAGAGAACGAACCAATTTCAATTATTGTGTGGCTTCATTTGGGTGGCATTGAAACAACCACGGTCCTTGGAAAGGTTTGAGGCAAACCTCAGTCCTTTTGGATCCAAACCTACAGAACTAGCAATCAATGACAACGAGTTGTTTGACGAAGTTAGCATCGCGTGTAGGTTTGCGTAAATCAAATAAGTTCTAGTTCCAATAACAAACAAATAAAGTTGACTTGCGGTAGGTTGAGATGTTTTTTTATATCCAGGTAAACTCGGTCCCCCGTGAACAAATACAAAACTTATTCAATGTAATCTATGTCTCCCTGATACTAATGAACCTACTGAAGGAAAATTCGCACACATGAAAACCGAGTGGACAATTGAGAAAGCGCAACCCATCGTTTAAACACTGTAAGCCATGCATTTGTTGAAGTGTAATTTTCTAGAAAAGGGCACCAGTATCCCTGCAAACGACTTCACGATAGGCTGAGGCAATGCCCAGATCAATTACGGAAAATACGTTCATCCGAGAGGTCTTAC